TTAAGCGGTTGGTCCTCCGCTAGTACCCGTCGGGGCTGAGGTTCTGACCTCGGCAGTCTGACCCCTGAGCCCATGCGCTTAACGACCACCTTGTCCGATGACCAGGCAGAGAACACAGTAACCGGATGGGAAAGGCATTTCTGACGCATAGAGCCACATGCGCAGAGGCACGGAAGCCAAGCAACATAGTTCACGCAGGGAGCGATGAGAAATGTGCTCTTTTTTGAGACTTGGAGATGACGTTGGAGAAGTCGGTGGCAGCCACGCCACGGTGTCCTTGCCGGCCGGGTTAGGATGCTCTCGCTCTGGGGCTATCGTGTTAAGCGTTTTGTGGGTCCCCGGAGCTGGATAGCATCTTGGAAGTCCCGTTCAGTGCAGGGGCCACCTAGAAATCTGCAGGACCGAAACCAGTATAGCCTCCGGTCTCCCCGGGGCGCTCTCCTGCCCCCGGGTTCGGAGCAGGGCTTCCCTCGCTAGCATCCCGCGCCGAGGGCTCGTACATTGTATTCAGCCTTCGCCGCTCGGCAAGTCGCTCCATCCCTCCTGCAGCCCAGCGTAGCTCATCTCCCGTTCAACTCGGAATGCACAGCCTGGCTTGCGATTAATTAGTGTATTCTCCAGTTTTTATCAGGCCAAAGAAAAATTTAAAAAAGAACTGAAGATTGATGGATTTCTGTACAGTGACTTATCTGTACTAGCTTCTGACATACCGTATTTCCCACCAGAGGAAGAGGAAGAAAATTTGGAAGAGGGGATTCACCTGGTAGTCTGTGTCCATGGCCTGGATGGTGAGTTCCAAAACGACTTCCACCTCAAATTTCTGTGCTCTGAACAATTTATCATATCGACGGATTCACTTGGGTCGGGTCCTCCTTCAGCAAGTGTCAGTTAGTGGCCGCGGGGTGACAGTGAGTACACGGGGTCCAGGGAAATGGCACGGACTTGCTCCCAAAGAAAAGATCTTGGGCACGAAACTCTGGTGAGAGAGAAAATGAAATACAGAGATGAAAGAAAGGAAGGGAAGAATGAATGGAACAAAGGGAGTGAGGGAAAGAAGAGGCTGGGCTGTGAGCCGCAGCCTCGGGTCCTCGCCCTCACGCCTCTGCCTGCGGCGGCCAAGGAGGGACAGGCGGCCCCCGTGGAGCCCACCCATCCCTGGCTCCTGTTTTCGAGGTGACTAATCCCGTCATAGATCACTACGCCCCAACTGGCCCGTTGGGGGCCCACTGACCGCCCGTAAGTGGCAGAACGAGTCAGTCTCTGTACGAAACGAGACATTTAAGTGGGGGGGGCTTGCAGACGTCACATTGTTCCACACCAGCCACTGACCGCCACCGCTCACCGACCGTCCCGAGTGAACGGAACTGGCTGTGGGAGAAGCGGGAGGCCGCGTGCCTCTAGTCTTCCTGGGCACGGGGTGATCACAAGCCACGTATGTGTGGCTGGGGGATGTCTTCCTGGAGGCAGGATTTGTAGAGAGACCCGGCCCATGTGTGCATGTGTGTGTGCGTGTGTGTGTGCATGTGTGTGTGTGCGTGTGTGCGTGCATGTCTGTGCGCATGTGTGTGTGTGTGCGTGTCTGTGTGCGTATGTGTGTGTGTGCATGTGTGTGCGTGTCTGCGCACGTGTGCGTGCATGTGTGTGCATGTGTGTGCATGTGTGTGCACATGTGTGTGCGCGCATGTGTGTATGCGCATGTGTGTGTGCGTGCGTGCATGTGTCTGTGTGTCGGGGGCCTGTATGGGACCCATGGGTTCCGCTTGTTTGACTTGTTTTTATTACCTGCTTAATGGAAAACGGGAAGTGGGGGGATGTGAGGAGGAGGGAAGCGAACCCCTAAGGTGCCGACT